GCAAATACGCAACATCACTCTTGATTCTCAATGCTAGCTAATTACACTTCACCTAGTTCTTGTTTTTATTTCGCAATGTAAGCGATCTCTCTTACACCATTTCTTCATGTATGCATGCCACGCACAGAACCTTATATAAATAAGAAAAAAGCAATGGCACAAGCATTGTCTAGTGAGACACTTTATTAGTTACAATGGTCCAATATAACTGAACTTAGCTAATAGCAACCTTTTGTTTCTTATATCCACCCACTCTACAATCTAATTAACCATCTTTTTCTCAACCCATACTAATGTGATTTTCTTAGCTTATTTTCTCTGCGTCATCTTACGCAAAGCTTTTTGAAAATTTAAATACATGAAGTCCACACCATTTTCACTATCCAGATAACGCATGACATCCTCAAAAAATGTTAACATATTAGTAAAGCAAGGTTTTCCTTTAGTGAAATCATTTTGGCTTTCTTTAATTATATATATTTAAGTGATTTTACAAAGCTTCTTTTATCAGGATCTCTAGAACTTTCCCCACAACAAAAGTAAGATTTACTGTATAATTATAAAATGTTATATACGGTATTTTTTCTATCTAAAAGGAAATTAATTTGACTATCGTTCGTCCCAGGGATTGCTAAAGTCAGATTTTGAAGTATTTCATTTAATTAGCTCAATACAAACTTGTGTGTTTATAACAACAAAAAATAGCCTCACGGTTTGTCACAAATTGTGTATTTGAAACATTCCGCATTAGTTTTTTATGCCTAAAAATAATCAGAATTATTACTTATTTGATTTTGTTTTCTGTATAAAACATACGAAATAAAAATATAAAAAGAAGGTAGTCATGGCTTAAATTATGATATAGGGGACTAGACAGGATGCACGATGGGATACGCTAAGGAGTAAAAGGGGATTTGGACTGTAGTGGTATTGTGCCAATAAAGCAATGTAAAAAATTTTGTGCTTATGAGCTTTAGGTTATATGTACGAGTTTCAATAATCTTTCGACGTAGTTTAATGTTATTGTTACTTACTAACTATGAAATCTTTTGCGAATACTGTATTTTGGAAAATTGGAAAATTTTAAATGGGGTAGGCTACGTTCTTTACGTTTTAACTTTTTAAGTCTGTGATAAATGCTTAACCGTAACGTTAGTTTTGCTAAGCCTAAGTTTGTAATTTGTTAATATTAGGCTTAACCTATGTCTTACATAACTGCCGGGTGGAATATTGACCAATTAACGTTGTATAGGTAGCATGGTAGTAAGTTTTTTTACATTTCTTTTCGAACTTTATGATTAATTAAAGATACACTCATACAGAGGTTTATTTATGTTGTTAATTTTTATATTCGGTTTGGTAAATACTCTGTTGAATTGAAGTTTGGGTGTTGGCAAAGATGTTTTTGAAATGTGTTGGTAGTACTGTTACAACTTAAGTTCCACTGTCATGGAACTTAATGCTTAAATTTGGTTAAGCCTAATATATTTTTTTATGATTTAGCCTTGCATAAAAGTTATTTTACGAAGTAAAAGTAATACTAATAGTATTATACTGCAATGGTCATAAATTACTGAAATTGAAAACTGAAATAGCTGATATTCAACCAACTGTTAGTGTTAGTGAAACTACAGTTTTAGTTACTTTTATAGTAATCGTACATAGATGAACATTGTGGTTATCATGATTTATTCACAAAGACTATATTAAGTCTTGTATGAATAGTAAACATTTGGTGGTTTGTGTTGTAGAGAATTGCTATTTCATTACTGTTAGTGTGAAATTAATATTAATAAGCTTAAAGACTATCTGTTACAAAGGTTACCACTCAAATTATACTGCAACTTCTAATATTTCTTGCTTTTTGTTTCTTTTCTAGATACTCATTTGGAAGTGATCTTTTATTAAAAAATTTGTTGCAAAAATAAAGCTATGGTTTCCATATAACTTGTAAATCTAATAGTGTTTATATTAACTTTACAAAATAAAAACAATTTGTAATTTTTAGTTAGTATACTGTTGTGGTATGAAACTTTTCTGTAGAACCATAAACTTTTTATGTTTTCATAATTTGTTGTAATTTAAGAAACTAGTTACAAGAAGAAATGTAAAATTGTATTTTTTTTTTGTGTTATATGGAAGAACTAGAAATTCTTTATTCTGATGCTTAAAATTTTTAGGTGTATAGATGACCTTTGTGAGAGTGGTCTGAGTGTTTGAACAAAAAAAAAGAAAATATATACTTTAATACTTAATTGAGGCATGCAGAAATGATATTGGGTATGTAAGTGCATTTTATCACTGCCCAGTTAGGTTTGAAGTTTTCCTGCATCTGGAGATCAGGAATAATATTTTGGTTACATCTTTCAAGAATGTTTTGAAGGGATGTAAAAAGAATGGACTGTTATTAACTGAGCTACTGAATTAAATGGAGATACTGATCACGTGAACATTTTTATATATTTAAGATAAACGTGTTTTTTATCCTGGTGGGGGGGAGCATGAGTGAAAGACCAGGTTGACAGCTTTGACTGGAAACTTGGAGGAGCATAGAAGACCAAGATAGTTAAATGGGATATTTGGGAATTCAAAAGGGAATATAAAAAAAGGAGCTTAAGAATTGGATATATGAGCTACTTTGTTATATTTGTTTGCAAGTCCTTGAGTAGTGGGCAGACGCCAGAGGATTGGAAGTTTGTTAATGTTGCTGGCTGTGATAAGGATGCTGCTTTAAAAAAAGTTTAGATTATTTGGTGAGGGGGACAAATAAATAGCTAATGGTTTTTAGATATAATTAATACAAAGTAATGTATGTGAGTTGTTATAATTTGAATTATAAGTACAATCTTATGGAAATAACTTCAACAGTGTAATGGAAAAAAGATTTGGTGTTCTGGTTAGTCTGTCAGTTAGACCATCCAAGTTATTGCTGGTAGTTGGGCAAATAGGGTTTTAAGTTCTATTTATAGAAATATTAAATATAAGCCTAAAAGAGTTAGTAATTTCAATTTTAAATCACTGGTTAGGCCTCATTTAGAACGTTGTGTTCAGTCTTGGGTTCATTAACTTAAGAAAGACATTGAATTGTTGAAAAGGGCTCAAAGGAAGGCTACAAGGATAGTATCTGAGATGAAAAGGTTGTCATATTAAGACATGTTAAAAGAGTTTTGAAGAGATTGAAGTGTTCAGTATGATTAAGGGAAATGATAGTTTTGATGCTTAATTCCTTTTTTTTTAACATATGTAATGGTGAGAATGGTAGGATAAAGTGGGTGACACAAGTATAAATTTTGTCAGGTTAGGAATTTTTTTAAAACTATTACAGTTTTTCTTATCTAACAGGGTAGTTAACCTTTGGAATGGAATGTCTTGATATGTAGTAATTTTAAGGGAAGACTCAATAAATATCTAAATCAGGGCTAGATTTGAGTGTGTTTTTGAAGTGGAATGGACAGTCTAGATGGACCAAGAATATTTTTGTCCTTTGAATGTTATGTCTTATCTGGTGTGTGTATGTATATATGTAGCAAGAGGCTTAAAACATAAACATTGTGAAGCTCTTTTTCTCATTGATAAAAGAAACCACTGAAAACCACAGGTAATGAAAAATGAAATTTTCATTAGAGGTTGGAAATTAATCAATATAATCAGTTACTTATGAGTATTGATTACATTAATTATTGTCTTATAAAATAATCAATTAATTGTATTTATAATTAAATCAATGTCACGAGAACATCAGCTGATTGAAATAAGTGTTTCTGATTATTACTGTTTTTCATTATTCTAACTAAAGTTGGTAGCTGAAAAGTTAGCCTGTATTTACTGATTCTTAAGACCCTATGCCTCAAATTTTTTGCTAAATGTTTTTATGTAAATATTTTCTATTGTTCTGGTTAAAAAGGGTATTATGCAACTTCAGGATTTCTAAATTATGAATGTATTACAAACCACTTTTTCTAAACTTAAAATATAAAATTAATATATTTGAACTTGAAATCTTGCTGCTGAATTGTGCCATTATTTGGAAGGCACAGTGTGTTGTAAAGTGGCAAAAGTTTTGAAAAGATTGTGTTTAGCAGGTGTGTAATGTAATTAAATGTTGTATTTCAGTGGTTCTTTTATGGTAAAACTTTCTAACCATATGTTAATTAGAGAAGAAATTCTCAACAGTTTTTTGATAAAATAGCTGACAGAAGTAATTGTGTATTGTATTAAATGTCTGATATAAAGTGTTTAAAAGTAACTAATAAATACATTTTTAAAATAGGAACTGGTTTTGTACCCATCACCTAGAAGCTTACTCACTGGATAAGTCTTGGAAGCTAATGCTAATATGATACATGTACTTGTGGATCAAAAGAGATCGTCGCCCTTGGAACTGAATATGCAAATAGACTGCTTAATTTCTTGAGTGTATGTTAATAATGACACTGTAGTTGAAAAGTGTAATTGGAAGATCCATTTTTGACTAATTTGAAGGTTGGGGAAAACATTGCTGTTAATTGAATTGTTTTATAAGCTCTTTACTTTGTTGTTTAGTCATTCAATGACATAAAACTTCCTGTTTGATGTTGGTTTTTTTTTAATTTTGACAGAAAAAACAGGATACTCAATTTTTTGGAATATTAGTTATTGTTGATCAAAGGATAAGTAATACGAATTAGTCAAATATATAGATCAAGTCATAGTACACATAGAAATGCTGTGGTACTATCCCGCCTGAGAAAAATTTGAAACCCTATAAAATTTGTTGTGCACCTAGTACATGTTGAACAAAAAGAAGTGAATAGGGCTTAACGAAGAATACCATATACTGTGGCAATGTCTTCTGTTTCGTCTCATTCTCCTTCGCATTCTCTGTCAGCTGCATCAACATTTGTTGATAAAATAGATCCGTTTAAGAAGGGCTCTCTGAAAAGGAAGCAGAAAAAATCTCAGGGTTCTTCAAGGTATAGATCAACTAGTGTTGTTGAATTGCAACCTCTGCCTCAGTTGAAAGGTGAGTAAAATTCAGTTAATTTTTAGTGTCCAATTTTGAACCATTTTCAGTAATTTATTCTTTAACTTTACGTATATGTGCATAGATATTTCACACACTGTAATATGTATTTAACTAATTGATATTCTTATGTGAAACTAAACTTCCTATTTTCAACTTTTTCATTTTTATAAATATTATAGAACTACCTTACATTTGAAATGAGTTCCTCATAATTTTCACATGACTACTAAAACTAATGGATATTTATAGATCTGAAATAAACATTACTTTGCAACATGGATTATAAACCAGTAAAATGCTAAATATAACTGTGACAAGTGTTTTTACTTGTAGTTACAGGTTCTTGGGATTGAGCTTAAGATATTAATATGAACCAGTAATCAAGTGGTGGTCAGCAGAGTGTTCACAACTTGTTATCAAGCAAGTGGATAATTTAGGTGCATCTTTGTTATACAGAGGGACAGTAAATGTAACAGTTTGCCATTTGTTAGAAGATAAGGAGAATAACATTATCATGAGTATAGAATCGGACATTATTTTGTAAACAGCAATATTCTAGTGCAGAATGAGCCGACAATTTAATTAAAATTCCAATTCCACACACACATTTATTCTCATTACATTTTTTTCTTCTTTTTTTATCACTGCACATGTAGACCAAAAAAAAATTTGTAAAATTGCCAGAAAAAATTTTACTAGATAGGCAGGACTTTTCTTAAATTTTATGAAATATTACACTACATTGTAACATACCATTATCAAAATAAAATGTTTTTCATGCATTTTATCAAATCAAGAATGACATTCTATTTTTTAGTAATGTACAATTTCTTTTTCATTTTTAAAGTATATTTACATCTCATAAGGTCTGTGGTTACAGGCTGAAGTCATTGTTTTTAATGCATTGTTGCCCAAATAGACCTTCAGTTATGATACACTAGATAAATAGTAATTATAGTTGATTTATATGCACCATGCCAAATCCACTTCGTAATAGTGAAAAGTACTTTATAGTTATTACTTATTAACATACACAGTTAAGTGTTTTTAATACTTTTGTAATGGTGGAAGGTGGAAGGTCCTGTTAAATTATCTGAAAATAATTCGATGTCCAGTTCACGTAAATGATAAATTAGTTTTTAACTTAATGTTTTCACAAACTGCCTTAACTGTACACAATTGTAGGCCATGTTTACAAACGACACTAATTGCATTACATTAATGTAAACTATAAACTTATTTGAACTACTTCACAGCTGAAATGGGAAAAAATATTGACTGATTTGCTCTATCAGCTAGAAAGAACTAATCTTAAAACAACTCTATTTTATACTTACTAGAAATCTTGATGTCAAATCTTAATTTTCAAGGTGATTAGGCCTATTTAGTTGTAACATCATCATTATGACCTGCAGCTTCATCTCTAATGATGCTCTGGAATTAGTCTTGACAGGAACTTTGAGCTCCTAAACAGGTTGAGATTCCGCTAACAAGTTCTTCTCTGGAGTTACTCATTTGAACATTCCCTCCGTAATGTACTTTCAAAACTGATGAATGAATGACCTTTGGCTTGGATTATCTATCCATTTGAATTCTGTAATTCATATTTATTCTTTTCTGTACAACATATGGGCCCTCTTGGTGCCTACAGAATTTTTGAGTTTGACCTCTCTTGCAGCAGGAATTGTACAGTCACGTGTTATCTCTATGAACTCCAATCTTATCAGCATCAATATCATAGCAACATTTCATAACCAGGTGATTCTAAGTTTTCCTGGTAAGGTCATGTACAACATCTTTATTCTTCACATACAAGAGAGCTCTTCCAACTATCAGTTCCTCAAAATATACTACAATATTTGGTTCTACTGTATTCCAGTCACCATATGAAGAATTATTGCTAGTAACCCTGGCCGGAGTATTTCACTTCTTGGTGGTGCAGTGGTTACTGTCCACTGAGAATACAACCCCTTGTATAGTCATTGCTATGTAACAGATAGGGATTTCCTGGTCATAGAACCTAAACTTGCATCCATGTCTCAGCAAAAACGAGTTCCTAAGATGGACTTTTCTTCACTATCAATTACCTATATATTATGAGGTGTATAGTAGCTTCCTACAGTAAGAGTAACTTCCAACTTTCCTCATGGTGGAACTTTATATCCACCTACTGTTCCCATCAGTTCTTCCTTCATCTCTGTAGGTACTTCCTACCTTTCATTAACAAATTAGGTTGAACAGGTGTAATCAAAGAATCACTGTCAATCAACATACTGCAAGGTTTTTCATAACTAAGCCCATGAATTCATTGGTGATTTTGCTCAAGTAATAAACTTCTTTTCTCTTTTAGAATAGATGGAGTATTTCTAGCTATACTTCATGATATAAATCTAGCTAGTTTCTCTCTTCTGTGGTCTGGTTAGCTCTTTGTTCTCCCTTTGATCTGGTTTGGCTTAAAAGCATATCCTAAGAGTATAATGTATCTTTGCTCCATTACAGATGTTGATTCCTTAAAGCCTTGGCCTTAGTTTAACATAATATTAACTTTCAGCATGGGCTCGGTCCTTTGGACCAACCTCGTAACCATTTTGTGCTTTTTATAGTTTTTATGCTATAACTTTTAAATTAGTAAGCGAATGCTAATGAAATTTAGCACATTATCAGTAAACATTACAATTATTTCATACCCAAAATATATATA